CCCCCCCCCCAAGGTGGCAAGATGGCGAGCGAGCGGCTGCACAGCGCCCAGGACCTGCTGGATCTCACCTTCCAGTGTGAGTGCTGGGCAGTGGGGAGAGGAGGGGGACACACACACAGACCCTTTTGGGGTGCAGCCTGACCCGTGTTCCCCCCCAGCCTTGGCCATGCAGCACATGGACTTGAAGCAAGTGGAGCTGGACACGGCGGTGGCCAAAGTGGACGAGCTCTCCCGGCAGCTTGAATCCCTCTGGACCGACGGCCCTGGACCCCCCAAAGTAGGATCTGGGACTTGGGGGGGAGGGGGCCACCCCATTGCCCCCCTCCTCTACCCCAATATCCAGTCTGCCCTCTCCACCCCTCCCCATCCCCAGGAGACGTACAGCCCCAGCCGAACCCGCTCGCCCCTTGGCCGGAGAAGCCTGGCACCGGAGAATCTGGAGATGTCGGGGGACACACTGGGTCGCCCCGGTTCCCCCCGGACCCTCCATTATCTCCCGGGGGAGGATCGGGCGCCTTCACCTCGACCCAAGGTGTTGGCGGTGCCCTACGAGGGGTTGGCACTGCCCAGCCCGGGGGGTCGAGCCCCCTCCCCTCGTCCCCATCGTTCCTATGAATTCTTGGGGCTAGGGGGGTCCCCCAGACCGGGTGAGGGACCCGTCTTCTTCCCTGAGCGGGCACCCTCACCCCGACCCCCCGCGCCCCCCCCTTATGAGGTGCATGGGCTGTACCCCTCCGTCAGCAGCCCCGCCATCACCTTCCGGGCGCAGGGTAAGGCCACCATGGTGGTTTTGGGGGGACACACATGGTGGGGACAGTCCCTGGGCTGGGGGTGCTGCTGTCCCCGTCTTGGGGTGCTCCTGTTCCTCCTTGGGAAATCTCGCTGTGAGATACTGCTCCTGGGGGTGCCTCTGGGACACCCGGGGTGTCCTCATCCCTGGGTGTCCCCCAATTCATCCTGGGTGTCCTTATCCCTGGGTGTCCCCCAATCCATCCCTGGGTGTCCCCAGTCTATCCTGGGGTGTCCCCCAACCCTGTCACTGGGTGCTCCTGCCCCACCCTGAGGTGCCCCCATCCATCCCCCAACTTGAGCACCTTTGGGGGG